GGTTCATTTGGATCGAGTGAAACTGAATTGGGTTGGATTAAGTTGGACTGAAAGATCTCCAGTGTATTTTGAGTAGTTGGGTTAAGTTGGATTGGGTTGGGTTAAGTTGGGTTGGGTTGGGTTAATTGGACTAAAGGGTCTGTGAGCTGTTGGGTTGGGTTGGGTTGAGTTGGATTAAGTTGAGTTAAGATGAGTTAAGTTGGGTTGGGTTGAAAGGTCTCCGATGGGTTTTGAGTTGTTGTGCGGTGCTGGGTTGGGATAAGTTGGGTTGAGTTGGGTTAATTTGGACTAAAGGGTCTGTGAGCCATTGGGTTAAGTTGGGTTGGGTTGGATTAAGTTGAGTTAAGATGAGTTGGGTTGCATTGAAAGGTCTCCGATGGGTTTTGAGTTGTTTGCGGTGCTGGGTTGGGATAAGTTGGGTTGGGTTGGATTGAAGTGGGGTGTGAGGTGTTGGGTTTATCTGGGTTAAGTTGGGGTGGGTTAATTTGGATTGGTTTGGGTTAAGTTGGGTTGAAGGCTCTCCAATGGATTGCGAGCAGTTGGGTGAAGTTGGATGAAGTTGGATCAAAGTGTCTCCACTGCGTGAGCTGGGTTACGCTGGATTGGGTTGGTGTGAGCTGAGTTGGGTTGGGTTGGGTTGGTTTGGGTTGGGTTGGGTTGGTTTGGGTTGTGTTAAGTTCAGTTACGTGCTGAAGGGTCTCCAATGGGTTGTGAGTGGCGTTGGGTGGGGTAGGAGATCCCCCCATTGGTTGGACTGAGTCAAATGGAGTCCCTGGACCGCAGGCACGAATCGAGGAGCTGGAGGAGGAGCTGGAGGCGGAGCGGACGGGCCGGGCCAAGGTGGAGAAGCTGCGCTCGGATCTGTCGCGGGAGCTGGAGGAGATCAGCGAGCGGCTGGAGGAGGCGGGTGGAGCCACTTCGGTGCAGCTCGAGCTCAACAAGAAGAGGGAGGCTGAATTCCAGAAGCTGCGGCGCGACCTGGAGGAGGCGACGCTGCAGCACGAGGCCACGGCCGCTGCGCTGCGCAAGAAGCACGCCGACAGCGTGGCTGAGCTGGGCGAGCAGCTGGACAACCTGCAGCGCGTCAAGCAGAAGCTGGAGAAGGAGAAGAGCGAGCTGAAGCTGGAGCTGGATGACGTCAGCTCCAACATGGAGCAGCTCATCAAGGCCAAGGTAGGAGATCGGGGGGACGCCAGGTGGGACGGCTCCCCCTCCGGCCGCCTGGTGTTGCCTCGTACCTCCCTTCCCTTTCTTCCTCCAGGCCAACCTGGAGAAGATGTGCCGCACCACGGAGGACCAGATGAACGAGCACCGCAGCAAATCGGAGGAGGCCCAACGCATGGTTGCGGACCTCAGCACCCAGCGAGCCAAGCTCCAGACGGAGAACGGTGAGCTCTTCGCTCCCTCTGCCCCATCTGGGACCATGGGGGGGTTGTGGAAGGGTCCCCCAGGAATGACTGCCCCAATCTGTGCCCCGTAGGTGAGCTCTCAAGGCAGCTGGAGGAGAAGGAAGCCTTCATCAACCAGCTGATGCGTGGGAAACTCACCTACACCCAGCAGCTGGAGGACCTGAAGAGGCAGTTGGAGGAGGAAGCCAAGGTGTGAAAGGCTTTGGAGGCCTGCGGGTTTGGGGGTGAGGCAAACCAAGGGGCAGGGGGAGGCGGGGGGGGATGGAGGAACTCAGGGAGATTGGCTGTAGTCATGGAGGTTGGGTTGGGTTGGGTTGGATTGGGTTGGATTGAGTTGGGTTGGATTGGGTTGGATTGAGTTGTGTTTGGTTGAGTTGGGTTCATTTGGATTGGTTTGGGTTGGGTTGGGTTGGGTTGGGTTGGATTGGGTTGGATTGGGATGGGTTGGGTTGGATTGGGTTGGGTTGGATTGGGATGGGTTGGGTTGGATTGGGTTGGGTTGGATTGGGTTGGATTGAGTTGTGTTTGGTTGAGTTGGGTTCATTTGGATTGGGTTGGGTTGGGTTGGGTTGGATGGGGTAGTGATGGGTTGGGTTGGATTGGGTTGGGTTGGATTGGGTAGTGATGGGTTGGGTTGGTTTGGGTTGGATTGTGTTGGTTTGGGTTGTGTTGGTTTGGATTGGTTTGAGCTGCGTTGTGTTACACTGAGTTGAGCTGGAGCGGGCTGAGTTGTACTGAAATCATTTGGATTGAGTTGAGAGGAGCTGGGTTGGCTGAGATGTGTTGCTCTAAGGAAGATCTGGCTGCATTGAGGCAATTTTCACCAGCGCTCGTTGGGCTGGAGAACCTCAGGCTGTCCCAGCTGACGCTGCCCTGCCTTCTCCTCACCCCAGGCCAAGAATGCGCTGGCCCACGCTCTGCAATCAGCCCGGCACGACTGCGACCTGCTGAGGGAGCAGTACGAGGAGGAGACGGAGGCCAAGGCTGAGCTGCAGCGCGCCCTCTCCAAGGCCAACTCGGAGGTGGCCCAGTGGAGGACCAAGTACGAGACGGACGCCATCCAACGCACCGAGGAGCTGGAGGAGGCCAAGTGAGTCGTCCTCCGTGGGCGCGGAGGTTCTTGGAGGAGTCCTTCGGGGCCACGAGTGGCACCTCGCCGTCCCTCCATCAGGAAGAAGCTGGCGCAGCGGCTGCAGGAAGCAGAGGAGGCGGTGGAGGCGGTCAACGCCAAGTGCTCCTCCTTGGAGAAGACCAAGCACCGGCTGCAGAACGAGATCGAGGACCTGATGGCCGACCTGGAGAGGTCCAACGCCGCGGCTGCCGCTCTGGATAAGAAACAAAGGAACTTCGATAAGGTGGGAGCAGCAGCACGCGCTTGGGGTGAGGAGGTGGGAGAGCTTCTGCGTGGGAGGAGAGATTGTAAGCAAGGCCCTGGGGGCGTCCCCTGCAGATCTTGTCGGAGTGGAAGCAGAAGTTCGAGGAGTCGCAGACGGAGCTGGAGGCGTCACAGAAGGAGTCGCGGTCCCTCAGCACTGAGCTCTTCAAGCTGAAGAATGCCTACGAGGAGTCGCTGGAGCACCTGGAGACCTTCAAGAGGGAGAACAAGAACCTGCAAGGTGAGAGCGCGGCCACCCCCAGCGTCACCCGGCGACTCCTGCATGCTCTGATGGCTTCCCACCCCCGCAGAGGAGATCTCGGATCTGACGGAGCAGCTGGGAGCCAGCCACAAGACCATCCATGAGCTGGAGAAGGTCCGCAAGCAGCTGGACGCCGAGAAGCTGGAGCTGCAAGCGGCGCTGGAGGAGGCCGAGGTGAGCACAACTGCATCCATGCAGCTCTCTCCATCCCCACGCGTCCCCCGTGGCCACCAACGCTTCCACGTCCTCCCCAGGCGTCCCTGGAACACGAGGAGGGGAAGATCCTGAGGGCCCAGTTGGAGTTCAACCAAGTGAAGGCAGACTACGAGCGCAAGCTGGCGGAGAAGGAGGAGGAGATGGAGCAAGCGAAGCGCAACCACCTGCGGGTCGTGGACTCGCTGCAGACGTCGCTGGACGCCGAGACGCGGAGCCGCAACGAGGCGCTGAGGCTGAAGAAGAAGATGGAGGGCGACCTGAACGAGATGGAGATCCAGCTGAGCCACGCCAACCGCCTCGCGGCTGAGGCCCAGAAGCAAGTCAAGGCGCTGCAGGGATCCCTCAAGGTGGGGTGGCTGTGGGGTGACTGAAGATGGCTGCTGGGTCGGCGTTCAGGTCCCAGGGGGAAATGGGCAGGCGGGCGCTGGGGGGAAGTCGGGGGCTTCCTGGGTGCCCATTGGGCGGCCATTGGTTGCACATTGGTTGGCCAGACGGTGATCATCCCATGGCCATTGGTTGCCCATTGGTTGGCCAGACGGTGATCATCCCATGGCCATTGGCTGTCCATTGGGTCGCAATTTGTTGC